CTAAGAGCATGTTTGGTGACCCTGTTTTTCCCGTTTATCAGGTTTATCAATCTAACTCCTTTATCAAACAGTAAATTTTGATTTCGCGCGTCAAATTGTTTAATAATTAGAAAAAGTAAAATTAGAGTTACTTCTTTGACTGTTTAGGATGAAGTTGCTGTAAAGAATCATTTTAACCGTTTTTCATATGTAGCAAAAATGTTTACTTTATTTTATCAATAACATATATTTTAAATATTATTTTTTCATAAATCAGTAGAATTAGCCAATCCAGTCACTTTAGCCAGAATTTCATAAATTTTAGCATAATCAACCAATACGAAACGGGCTTTAAAATTTAACATCAACTTGGATATTTTGTGTAGGATTGTTCATTGTACGATATGATGAAAAACATATATATTCTATGTATAACGCAATCAATATGAGTAACGTAACACACGAATGTATATTTGTAATACGGAGTATAATACAATATTCAACCTTAATGCGGTTGCAGCAAATTTGTCCTAAATGGGACTAAAACATTAAGTAAATTCCAAAATAGGACTACAAGTTTATTATTCACAAAATAGGACCCCAGATTACATTTTTACCCTTCTTGTAACTAAACCCAAAAGCCCAGCTCATCTCCGCCAGATTCAATGACGACATCTCTTCCTCTGCATCGAACACCATCGACTGGCCTCTTTTGTCTCTTTGCCTGCGATTTTTCCCACGACCATGGATCGCAGCTGCACCTGTTCGGTGATTTTCCGGCGAAACCAGGTAAGTTTCTAAGTTTCTTTCCCTCCTCCTCTTCAACCTTCTTCTCATTCTCTTCCAGATCCTCTGCTTTTTGTTTTTTATCTATCAATATATTAGTTTTGAGATTGTTAGTTGAACAATTTCACTTTTTACAGTTTGATTTCAACAAAGCACCGTTAATCATAAGTTTTTACTCAACAAACACGAATTTCAACGAAGCCCAATTGATAAAAAATATATTACAATTTTACCCTTTTTATCAATTTGATTAATCTTGAACATATAAATGCCCTAGCCTAGTCACTGATTCTCAGAAAATGCCACTTTTAATCCTGAAAATGTCATAATTATTGGTTATTTGACAAAATGGCACTTTTATGGTTGAGAATGTCATAATTATTGGTTATTTGACAAAATGTCACTTTTATGGTAGTACATTTATCAAACTGACAATCCCACTTTGAAATGTCATTGCATCTGTAATGCCATATTTTTTGCATTTTTGTCAAATGATGTCATTTTTTAGACACTAAATGTATATTGAATGTCACTTATAATTTTTCATTTTCTTCTCATATTTGAAATTTTCAGATGTAAACTAATGGTTACTTAATTTTGTACAAAAATATGAAATTGAAAATTTCTTTATTTTTATAAAAATTCTATATTTTCACAATCTGAAAATGCTACTTTTCTTTACGAAAATGCCATTCAATATTAGTTCTTGGCATTTTCTATATTTGAAAATGCCATTCAATATACCTAAAAATGGATTCTCAAATATATGAAGTTGCAGTTGAGAAATTAAATATAAAAAAACGTTGGAACCCGACCTTATCCTAAATGTACATTTGAATCATGATAAAGTTGCTAGCTTTAGCTAGTGTAGAATAAGTGATCATCTAATAGGATTTGTAGAACAGTGGCCTCACCAGATGTATGCAGCGATGTTCTCACTGGCGGCGGCGGCCAGATTGGGCAGTGGCGGCCTTTCCGGGCAGCGGCGGCAGCGGCGGCCTTGCTGTGCAGTGGCAGCGGCAGTCTTGACGTTGGTGGCTGGGAAAAAGAGTTTGAGTGGTGTCGGTGGTCTGGAGGTCTCATTGCAAGGACTCATCGATGCAGATGCAGGGGCTTTTATTTCAATAAGGGCAAATTTGTCTAATTATTAATTAAGATTCCTATTTAAGAATAAACTTAATGTGCTATTTTTGCAAATTTACTACTACGTATGTTTTAGTCCCATTTGGGGAATTCTCTCATTTCTCTATTCTATAATGAAGTTTTCAATGCTATCATCACTATTCACAAAAATGAATGATGTACATACAATTCTACAAGTTTAAACATGTTTATCAGCAGGCATAACATTTTCATTAAAGTTTATGATTTATATGCACATTATGGATAGGGTTGGGAAAAAATACCGAAATTTTGGTATACCGGACTTACCATATCGAAAAATACCGAATTTACCGAAATGTTTGGTATACCGACGCTTTTGGTACGGTATGATAACGTACCGAATTACTTCCGTATGGTATCGGTATATATTTTGGAAACAAACGGTATACCAGTATACCGTCATACCGTAATTCCAAGTCAATAATTTCCTTAAAATTGTAAAAATAACTAGAAACACAACACTAATTCAAGGATAAATGACTTTATATCCATGTTTCTTGAATTATTTATACTTTTTGTTAGAGATCGGTGTTATTTTAGTTATATTTATGTTGTTTAAATTATTTTAGCAGAATGTGTTGTTATCTTCATATATCATGTGTTGAAATATCTATACATATTTATAATATTTTTTGTCAAAAGTTGAATAGAACACAAATAGGTTATCTCATTGGTATTTTATAATTAATTTCATTAATGATTTTAGTATATCACTATTAACACTGATTTTTTTATTTCATTTGACATATAATAATTTGTTATATTAAATCATGGTAATTTACCGATACCGTACCTTACCGTACCGAAATTTCGGTATACCGAAACAAGGTATACCGAAATTTCGGTATGGTAACGGTATGTATTTTTGCATACCGAAAGTTTACGGTATGGTAAAGGTATGCGATAAAATATTGGATATACCGTACCGAACCACTCCTAGTTATGGACGTGAAACGCGGGATGAGCTAATGTCAAAGCTAAGGGTACATTCTGGATTCACAAGCAGCCATTTCGAATGCGGAAAACTCACAACGGAAAGGGGGGCAAGCAATTTTCTGGATATATACATTTACATTTTATCCAAAATGTGGGGAGGGGATGAAAAAGATGACACTCTCATTGAGGATTGTTGAGAACGTCTACAAATTTTTCTAGGGTAATCTTAAGCAGTGGCGGACTTTTTTTGTTCAAGAGTGTTCATGTGAACACCCAAAATTTGTAAAATTAAGTATAAAAATACATGTATAGAATTGATATAATAATTTACATATTACAATACTAGGTAACATCTTAATAGTAAAGTAATTTCTAACACCCAACACTTGGTTGGAAGATCTGCCACTAATCTTAAGCCACATCCTCTGAGAGCCGAGAGGGGACTAGATGTACAGATTCTCTCATCAAACTTGCTCACAATGCACCATGTGCAGTGGCGGACCCAGAAGTTTTCCGAAGCGGGGGCACTCCCACATAGATAAAAATGGGTCGGGTCGGATCAAATTGGGTTTATCATTGGTCTTTTTTGTCAAGTGCGTTCAAATTAATATTTTTAACTGGAAATAGATTATTCAATCCCGACGTCAAGCAATGAATATATACGGATTACAAGTCTAATTGTGAATTCATTAAGACAATTCTAAACAACAATATTTGACTTTTTGAAAGAAAGACATAATTTGGCGGATTAGAAATGACTCATCTTTGCGCCGTTTCTGATTTTACATTAGAATTTTTGCTATTTTTTATACTATAAAATGATCAAGATTTCAGATTTGAACTAAGATCATGTCGATGTTATACATTTTGCCACAAAATTTATTGGTACTTGTCTAAAATATAATACTATCGTGTTAAATTAAATTAAGTATAAGTCAAGTTTAGGATTTCATCATTTAATACAACTTTATTTAATAATATGATTCTATATATCTAACTTTTACGAGTATCATATTATAGAAAATATATAAAGGGTATGTCGATTTGAAACTAATTTATCGCGCATTAACACATTTTTTCATGTATCAACTTTTATGAATAAAAGTCTTCAATCTATTAAGTTTATCCTGCATATTAGAACCCTTGTCGTATCTTTGAACTTTAACTTTCGACCGACATTATTCACACCAAGTAAAAAATCATCAATGTCACTTTTCAATTAAAGTGTAGTAACAATATAACAACATATCTAACTATAAGAATTTGTTCCATCACAACTGCAGAGTTGTTTATATTTCTTACTACAATTATTATATGTCTTCGACGGAGTTCTATACATATAATAGTTTTTTGAAATAATGACAATATGATTGAAATAAAAAAAAGTGGACAAAAATATAACTTACGTACTACCAAAGCAATTTTAGTGACCATAATTACGTTCATTAGTTATATTTCGGTAATACTAATGAAAAATACTATAATTTTTTGTCCAAATAACAGGGGCACAATTTTTTATTTTAAGTACTAATACTAAACTTCGGGGTCGGAAGCCCGGGCACTTGCCCCCCTAGGCCCCGGCCTAGGTCCTCCACTGACCATATGTGGCCTTATAGTTCTCTAACGATGATAATGCTCAAATCTTCTTGGGGAGTAATACAAAATACGGAGTAATACTTCTTTTATATTTTACTTTGGTTTCATTTTCTTTCCGATGTACAAAAAAAAAAAGCTAAGGTACGAACATGAAACAAAATAGAACTCCTTAGCCCCCTTAAACTTCATATATACACATTTTTTTTGTAGATTAAAGATCAAATGAGAACAATGTTTAACGTGAGAACACCACATTTAGTCAAATTGATGCATGATAAAATTTCCCTGTTGCACTTTTTCGAGTTGTGATGATATTTACCAAAAAGCCACCGCGTTATTTAATACTCCCTCCGTCCCCTTATTAAATTCTTAGTTTGACTAGCACACAGTTTTATGCAAATTTAATAAAGTAGTTGACTTTCCTAAACTACCCCCCACTCCCTCGTGCTGCACAAAAAAAAATGAATACAAGAAAAGCAAGGAGGAAATCTATATTGAGATAAAACATCAGATCATGGGGTAAAAAAAGGGGGGTAAAAGTACATTTGAGTTGATGGTTCTACAGTACAAGGCAAATCCAATTTCAGGGCATAATCCCTATGCGTACAGACTCCCAAAAGTCCCTCCAAATTTTTGGAGGGCTCTATACAAATCTGGGAATGAAATTTTAAATTTCCCCCCAAACCCAAAACTTTACACTTTAAAAGATTACAACAACCCAAACCCTATCATTTACTACCCCAATGGAGCTTTCTGAGTCTCTCTCTCTAGAACCTGAAGCTGCCTTAAATGGAACTGCAGGAGGAACAACTGCTATAAATGGCCATGGAGGTACTCCTTTCTCAACAAGCAACGCAGGTGGCAGTCCAGCTGTACCTGAAACACACAATAGTGAAGGCAGTCAAGGTTCAACAAAGAAAAGGCCAAAATTAACTAATGCACAAAAAAGTTGTCTGGTAGAAAAGCTTCAGAGGGGCATTGTAAAAGATACAGCTGAAGAATTCAACTGTTCTACGCGTACGGTTAACATTCTGTGGTCTAAAGCAAAAAGACAACTGAGTGATGGGGTGCCTATAAATGTTAAAGGCCAATGGAAGGGTAATGTGGGCAGAAAAAGAGTTGCTTTTGACCCAGAAAGGTTGAAGGATATTCCATTGCATAAAAGAAAGAACATCAGGTCACTGGGATTTGCCCTGCAGATGTCTAAGTCTGCAGTGCACAGGTTAGTCAAAGACAAGCAAATAAAGAGGCATTCCAGTGCCATCAAGCCCCTACTTTCACATGATGGAAAGGTGAGAAGGTTAAAATTCTGTCTATCTCATATTGTGCCTAGGCCTTTCCCACAAAAGTTCACTTTTCATCATTTCTTTGACCACATTCACATTGATGAAAAGTGGTTCTTTTTATCTAAAGAAACCACAACATACTACACTCATCCAGAAGAGGTGGACCCCTACAGAGCTGTTCAATCCAAAAAAAAATATACCCAAAATAATGTTTTTAACAGCTGTAGGTAGGCCTAGATTTGGGGAGGATGGAGCAGTGCTATGGGATGGAAAGATTGGTGTCTTTCCATTCACTTATGAGGAAAAAGCTAAGAGATGTAGTAAGAACAGACCCGCAGGCACAATGGAGACCAAACCCACATTAAGTGTAACTAGGAATGTGATTAAGGAGTTGGTCCTACAGAAAGTACTCCCAGCAATCAAACAAAAATGGACAGATGCACAAAACAGAAACATCATCATTCAACAGGACAATGCAAGGCCACATATAAAACTAAATGATGCAGATTTTGTCACGACTGCTACTGAAGATGGGTGGAACATACAACTAAGTTATCAGCCATCAAACAGCCCAGACCTGAATGTATTAGACTTGGGTTTTTTCGTGCAATTGACTCACTGAAGGAACAGAAATGCCCTAAAACAATTGGTGAATTAACTGAAGCTGTCACACGTGCTTATGATGACCTAACAACTTACAGTTTGAACAAAGTTTTTTTAAGTTTTCAGTGTGTCATAGAGCAAATTCTGATGCACAAAGGTGGAAATAACTATAAGCTCAAGCATATTGGGAAAGACAAGCTCGCCAGAAAGGGGATGCTACCACTCAATATGGAAATCAATCCTGAGTTGGTGGAGGAAGCAAAAGCATCACTTGTACAGATGCTATCAGGGGCAGGAACTGAGGCCGTTGCCACTGAGTTCATAAGTGAAGATCAAGGTGATCTTCAAGAATGAACTTAGATCACAAAGTGAAGTTTTTGTATGTACTCACTGAAGGACAGCTTTTTTGTTAGTACTGCCTTATATACGTGCCTAGACTACAACTTTATAATGTAGTGGCATAGTAGTAGGTTTTGGAAAATCTTTTGTACACTTAAAGGCAGTCATGTTTGTTTTAAAGTCTAAAGTAACATTCAACCCACACATTATGACTTACATTGGTTACCACAATAGTATGCAAACACCTTTGGCATAGCCTCCTACACTTACTGAAAGTGGGTGGCACATGTTTAAAGGTAGCAAAGCACCCTAGGTTTTAAGACACAAGACCCATCACCAGTTTGGTCCTTAACTTAAGCACAGAAGCATTATCAACATTATTACAATGAATCAAACAAGCACACAAGCCCCATCATCATTAGTAAGGAGTACTACAAATACCATTACAGAAAATTACATAGCTTCCTACACTAAAGCAAAGTGGGAAGCACATGTAGAAAGGCATCAACATTTGCATATTTTACAGAACAGAATCAGATAAGCACATCAAAGCTTTTCATCATTAGAAATCTACAAAAACATAAACTGAGGAATCCAAGGGTCCATTTAAAATTTCTGGAAATTACATAGCTTCCTACACTGAAGCAAAGTGGGAAGCACATGTAAAAAGGCATCTACATTTGCTAACTTCATTGATTTTACATAACCGATAACCAGATAACCACATCAAAGGCCAACATCATTGTAAATCAAAAAAATCATAATCTGAGCAATAGATACTTCCCTTATGGAGTGTCCTGAAATATGTCGGCGTAGAGATCTGGGAATAAACAATCAAAGGAGTTCACCTCCTCGCCTTCTTCCACCGATTCAGGAGACTCATCGAAGTGAGAGCCATACCTCCTTCTTCGTTTCCAACCCGGATCCGTTTCCGATGATGTCCACCCGCATGCACCCTCAGATTCGTCGTAGTGGGAGGCATAGATGTGTCTTCCCTTCCAAGCCAGACCCGTTTCCGATTCATTCCACCCGCATGCACCCTCAGACTCATCTTCATCGGCAGTGGTTAGTAGAGGATAGTGTTCGGAAACTTTGACCACGGCTTGGTTGAAATCAGACGGGCTAGGGTTGGACGGATGTGGGTGTACATCGGAAGAGGGATGGGGTTCCATGTTGGAATTAGAAGATGACACAGAGGAAAGGAGAGTTCCATGGTTCGAAAGAGTGATTGATTCCTCTTCCACATGGAGGACGAAAGGATTTGAGGAGAGAAGGCCACCGATTTGAGGAGAGAAGGCCACCGATTTGAAAGCGGATGAGGTGGGAGGTGGGTAAAGTGCGAATCAGAGGGGTCGGTGGAGTAAAGATAAGGGTTGAGGGTTAATTAAATGGGTAGGGCAAATATGGTATTTCAAGTAGTATTTCTTTCCTAATAAGGAAATGAGAAGATGATTTTGGGACGGACCAAAATGGAAAGTAGGAATTTAGTAAGGGGACGGAGGGAGTATTAGCTTAATTTTAGCAAACTTTGAAATGTGCAACAAAAAAGCTCCATTGTGCAGCACATTGATTTAAATGTGAGTGTTCATACATTAAGCATCGTTCTCATTAGAACTACACCCTCTTGTGTACACCACAAACGATCTCTTTTGAGAAAAAATAGCAACGATCTCTTTTAAGAAAAAATAGCAATTCAGTCCTTAACACTTTTTTTCTTATTTTAATAATGTTTCCCCAAAAGTGAGAAAATGGTTTCCACGGAATGAATTTCTAGTACGTCCCACGAGTAGCACTACATACGTGTTTTGGCACTGCCAGCTTTGAGAAAGAAGTGATAGGCAAAGAAAGGTCTCATCACTTCCCTACAAATGCTTTATCTTAAGAGGGAATGTAAGCAATGGGAGCGTTAAGGCACGTGCTGGAAACATGACATCAAAGAATGAAAACCACATTTAATACTCATTAGATCGTTTGCTTTCTATATGATACGAACTTATAGTTAATTCGTTCTTCATTCAGTATGATGCCTCGAGGCTCAAGAGTGGCCACCAAACTATTTGGCATATTAAAAATAGAGTGAGCTCAAAATTAATTTGTTCGATCACTCTCAAATCGTATTCAAAAAGTCAATTACATCTTCTTATTCATTCACAATAATTGAAAGTATAATTAATTTTTCATTCAAATCTAAAAACTTAGTATTTACTTACTACGTATTTGTTATGGAAGTTAATTTTAAAAATTATTTTTAAAACAACTATTGTATTCAATAGTTTGAGTACAAGTTTAAACATACGGAATAGGTGTTAATATTACCTTTCTATCCGGTCTATATCCCTTCATAAATTTAAACAATGTTTCTAAATAATAAATTCTATAAAAATTTGTTTCTCCCTAGCGACTTAGCGTCACGTAGAGTTTGTCTCCCTAGCGGCTTTGCCGTCACATAGGGTTTCCTTCCACCAATTATTTGTACGGCTCTTCTTCTCTATTCTTCTAGAGTGTGTTTTAAGTTTATGTTGTTGGTTCTGGTTTTGGAATTTAGGCGAATTTCAAATTATCCATTGGATCTCGAAGCAGTGACAAGATTTCATCTTTGTTTTCCGATCTTTTTTCTCGTCTTGCGCAAGTCAATCTTAAAGGAGGCGTGAGTGTGGCTACAGCTTTTGAAAATGAATTCAAGGTTCAAGAAACGATAATCATGACTTCTATGGATGATCTTGAGCAGCGCTGTCTCATTCCTGCAATTTAAGAGGAGGTCGAAGGGTTAGTTACGTTTCTGGCAGATCATCATGCATAGAGGGCAGTGGTGGTAGTGGAGGCGGAACGGGTAACGAGAAGAGGGAGAGAGGTGAAGGGATGAGCAAGAGAGAAGACAAATCCGCGGTCCGCCCCACTCCTGAACCGCCGCCTTGGAGTGACCAAGGTGCTAGGGTTTGGAAGATTTATCAGTTATTCAATTTTTTATGGTTTTATTTTTGCATTATGTTTTATGTTGCTTTTAGTTGTTGATGTCTTTAGTCTTAGGTCTATAATTATGATTGACAATTCTACTAGATATTATGTCGTTAGACGGATCTATATGGCATGTGATTGATTTGTCACACCCGCTAGGTGGTTAGCGATTCGTATTGCTCTTTCAGAGGTGATCGTCCCTGAGTCTAGTCGTAGGGTTGATTGTGCTAGTTGGGTAGGGATAATTGTTGTCAGTGTTGGTCTCTTAATGATATTAATATAAACGGTTTGTTTTGAAGATAAAAAAAACAATAAATTCTATAGACACTAAATTCATCCTTGCTTTCCCCCTCGCCTTCTTACTTTCCTTGGACTTCTTGCACACACCTAGCCAACAACAACTGATGGGTGAAGTCCACCCCATTTACTTTCTAAAAGCGCTTGATTTTCTCTTACTTTTGTATAGCCCAATTACGCTTTGATGTCCTAACTATTCATCTGGCGACGCAAAATACCATAAAGTGCACCCCAAATACATATGACTTCTATATCAATTCTTGATACCTTCTTAAACAATCACTTATTACTCCCCCAACATAATCCTAAATCTTCAACCCCATCTAAAAATTGAGCTTATTTATAACAATAATCATGCTTTTATTATCTTTCAATTATGTTTAAACATATTTACTCACACTGAAAAACCAGTGAAGTTTCATTAAGATCGTCTTATACCAAATTTGATAATGTTTGTATAGTTTTAAAGCGTTCTTAGTGTATTACCAAATTTGGTAATTATCATCTGTTTAAAGCGTTATTTTTTAAAGCGTTATTTTTAACATGCTTTCTAAATAAATGACTTCTAGATTTAATGTTATAGTCACTTAAGTGTAAAAGTGAAATATAAGTATATTAAATTTCATAGTAATATTTACCAAGTGTTACAAAAAATATGACTATAGTGACTATACTTTAGAGATCACATTGTTGTAATGAACCTTTTTTTAGTCGTAAATATGTAATATTTTATAGGAATACTTACTGAGTATTATATTTAATTTCTCATTTTTCTACATTGTCCCAAAATCAAATTCCGTTGGTAATTTAAAATCATCTTTTATCCCTATAATTTATAAATAGGACATCACTAATTACTCTATCGGTCTTAATTTATACTCCGTATAATACAGTAACCATTTTTATTTCAAACAAAAATTAACACTTTATTCCTATATGGAATTTAATTATATTTGTCTCTTAACTTTTTGTGTATCAATTTTACATTTTTTATTTTTTTTAGGTTAGAATAATTATAAATCATTTTATTCTTTTTTTTAACATCCGCATGCATTAATTTGACATGTACTAGTATCTTCTAAAAACCTGTAAATTTTAATTAGTTAGGACTTGGAGAGCATAATTCCGTATGTCAGTATTTAATTCGCAAATCTCTTTGGCGTTCGGTAGTGAGATTTTATTTTCAATTAAAGGAATGCACAGTGTAAAGAAGAATAATCACGTTTTGCACATACTTTTTTGGTTTGACTAAATATTACAGATCGACCATCAAATCAACAGTTTTCGTCTCCTCCATTTCCCACACCTGTGCGATACTTCTTTTCCATCCTCTTTTTTGTGGCTTTTACTGGTTTTTGGGGTCTTTTGACCTTATTCAGAGTACGTCAGTTATTTTACTGGCCACAAGTCCATAACTTAAAAGAATGAAATAATACTTCTACGTTTCATGAAAAATCTTTTGCCGTTTGACTTATTGACTCACACATACAGCCCTAGCCCCTCCCTGTCATAACTTTATCAAGTTGCATTGGCATAGAAAATAATATAATAAAGAATGAAATTGTGTGATCCGGATTTATGTTGAGAACATCAAGAAAAATATTACTCCGTAGAAATCATACATTAATTTGATCAAAAGACAAGAGAGAGTTTTTTGGTACAAAAAAAAGATGACAAAGTTCTAAAGACTACAAGTCTACAATTAATGAGACAGAAATGAAAGATTCAGGACAAAACGGTCGAATCACTAATTCCGTTAACATTTAGACTCTACTTACATATTAATTACTGCTCAGAAAAAAATAATCATAAAGAAGAGATTTTTTTACTTTGCATCATACTTTTTGAGTGATATTGGACTTGCACTCTATTTTCAAAAAACTTTAACTTTACACCCCATTGTATAACATTTGTGAAGAGAACATTCCGAATAGAGTGCAAAGTCAAAGGATTGTTAAGTGAAATGGAATGCAAAGTCAAAATTTTTAAAATGGGATCAAATTTAAATATCACCCAAAAAGTGGAGTGCAGAGTTAAAATATCTCAAAAGAACTGATTTTACTATCATCAATAATGGATATAAACATGCATTTTGGATTCCCCATCCACCAAAAACGAATTATGAATCTTCTTAGTTTTATCAATCAAATCTAAGAAGTGGGGAATTGTTCCAATTTCATCATACATTAGAATAAAGTAAACATTAATTGATACATGTCGATGTAAAAGAAAGTTAGATCCATAATTGATGAATAAATCGACAAAAAAATACTCCCTCCGTCCCTAGATAAACTTTCAACTTTCCTTTTTCTTCCGCTCCAATTAAAATTTCCACTTTCCTTTTTTGGCCAGCAATTCTTACACATTTCTCTCCCCTCTGCACAACTCTCCACCACACAATACTCATTATCTTAAACTGTGCGTCAAACCTATTTGGAAGAAATAAAAGGGACGGAGGGAGTAGTAGCACACACGAACATGCATAATAAATTAAAACACACTGATTAAACGTAAAAATGGGTTGTTAATGATTTTCGAAAAAAGGCTCTTTGAACATTAGCAAAGATTTACGGAGTATAAGGCATAAGAGAAAAGAAAAATATGAAGTCATAATTTTCTCTTGATTGGAAATAGTTTCAATGGGGATGGAAAATTAAACGCTTTTAGGAGTCTACACAGTTGCATATAAATTTGTTTCAATCATTTTCTTTTTGAGAAAATTCACGATGTCAAAATAATGTGGCATTGCAAAATAAGATTTTCTATGTTTTTATTTAATTAAGAATAAATTTATTGTTATTTTGAAATTATATTAACGTATTTTACATTAGGCCAAAGGGTCAAATAGGTACATGAACTAACTTAAAGTGTTCAATTAGCCACTTATATAGGAGGTTCTGCCCGGCCGTAGCCAATTGGGGTAGTTCCCGGTGGAATTTTTTAATGAAAAATTTTGAGCATCTTCTTCATTAAGTCTAGTTTACTCATATCAAATTTCAGCTAAAAATTAAATCGGGAAGGCAGTCAAA